TTGCTCAGCACTGCACTGACTAGCTCATTGGGACGTCAAGCGCGGCTGCGGCCAGCCGTTGCTGCGGCGGCGCCGGCTTAAGGTGTCAATGAGTTAACTGGCAAAGAAGAGAAATGAGCAAAGTAATAATAACTGACGGGTATAAAAGCAGCAGCAGCAGTAACGAAAAGGCAGCAGCAGCACTTGCTTGTAGCAGCACTGATCAATTGAGATGATAAGACTGCTAGTTTAGAAGTTGTAACAATGTCTCCTCTACTCGTTAGCATAACAACTGAAGAAGCAGCAGCAGAAAGATTTGTGTGACCTGTGACCTTTGCACATACACCTGAGCTGCACTTGAAATTGGCTGCAGTTCAGAGCAGTAGAGACTTTTTCGGCGCGACTATCAAGCAAGCGCAGTAGCATGGAAGATAGCTTGTAATGCCTGTTACACAACACCAAAAGCATAACACGAAGCATATTTATCTCGGCTTTTTTGACTGACTGACAGTGTTTACTCGCACTCAAATTCTCAAGAGTTTTCGCTCACATGAAAGAGGAGAGCCGTCAGCAGCCAATTGGGCTTATCTGGCCTTAACTGGCTGAAAGAACTGAAAAAGAACTTCTTCTTTCAAAGAACAAAGAGCGGCTGTGCTCTGCTTTTTGTCAGCGTGCAACGGTGAACTGTGAAATATAGGAAAAGAGATCAGCAGCAGCAGCCGCTTTTTCTACTGCCTATCTGACCGGCAGCCGATCTTGTTTAGCATTTAATTAGTACCACCATTTTCCCTTATCTGCCTAATTGCGATGTGAAATCAATAAGAGAAGAAAAGAAGGGACTTGTTTAAGCCGAGCCGAGTCGCCTCTTCCGCTTCTAGGGCAATTTTCTATGCACTGTCAATGTCGGCGTGTGAGCGTTTGTAATCAACATTGGCTTATGACGTCAACTGTTGTTGGGTGCCTTCCCTTTTGCTACTGTTTGCTACCTTCTCCCTTTCGGTAATGTTCACGCGGTAATGTTCAGAAAGGTGAAATAGTGGTGATGATGGTCGTTAAGAAGACCCTTTCCACCACCTAATTCTTCAGCTTTGCTGTTTGAAGCTTCATTACCACTGTGGCACCTGAGGCAGCTGCTGTTGCTCACCCGAATGGATGCAATGAGCTTGTGAGCTTGCGAGCATTAGCACTACCGCCACCTCCTCCTTCTTCTTCTTCCCCAGCCTCTTTTCCCTCCGTTCATCCACTCACACTCTTTGTTTGTGTCTGCGGTCTATCATTATTGCCCATTACAGTGGTGAGTGTGTATGGCGGCGGCGGCAGCAGCAGCAACAGAAGCAGCAACAGTAGTTCGTAATTGTCACCAGCGTTTAGTTGCTGCTGAAGTTGCAGTCGTAGCTACACCAGTGTCGCTCAATTAATTAATTCACCATCGCCATTTACGCGCTCTATCAAACACATGACTGCTGCTGCTCTGTCACAATTAGATTCGCCAACATGTCACCTTTCCTCTCTTTTTCTCTCTGCTTGCGCATTCCCTGAACCATGCTATTTGATTTGATTTACTGCCCAAAAAGTGGTGGCTGAGCTAATGCGCAAATCTCTTTTCGGTGCACAATTTGTACGATTTCGGAGGAGGACAGAAGAAGATGATAGCGTCTGACCGCCAGAGCGGTCAGACGTCCGACGGTGAGATACACACCACCACTACAAGAACAAGTAATTGGTGGAGAGAGAAGGGAAATGAAGAGGTGACAAGAGCAACGAATACCACTGTGATATACTCAAATCTTCTGAATTTTCCTTGCCTCGCCACATCGCGGATTCGTCTGTCAGACAGTCGCTGCTGCTGCTAATTGTTGGCCAACCTCTCCTAATGGACGCGCCATCAGCAGCAGCAGCAGTGTGACATTTGCATTTGGATTGCTTGCGAGCAGACTGCTGCTTTGCATAGGACAGGACTATCATCCACTCAAACCGATGATCACCAGTGGTGGTGCTGGTGGTGGCAGTAATCGAGGCTGCAGATTGAGTGTGTGTGTGTGTGCTCAGTGCGCCGTATCGTGACCACGCATCTGCTGCTCCAAGCTGCGGTGATTTGTTGGCTTGTAATGGCAACAGCAGCTTAATAGATTTGGACTAACTAAATAACAGCTCCTAACCTCGCTGAAGAGGAAGCCTATCTCCTGCTCCAAGTCAAAGATTGGTTGCTGCTGCTGTTGTTGTTGTTTTCTTCTTGCTACTGCTGCTTCTTTCGCTCTGAACCATGCAGTTGTTTCTAAGATTTAGCTTTAGCTTTAACTCATTCACTCGCTCACTCACTCACACTCAGTCGCCTAATCGACCAGCAATTAGCTCATGTGCACCTAGCACAGTGGTGTTGTTCAACCTGTCCACCTACCTGATTGATGACCGTCACCACTGTCGATGACTTCACTTTTGACTGCTCTTCGATGTGTTGCTGCTGCTGTCGTCGTCGTCGTTTCCCCTTCCTTAAGTGGACTATTGCTGGCGCTGTTGTTGTTGCTGCTGCTGTTGCTATTGCAGCTCATATTCAACGAATTAGTGCTCGACCAGTCGGCGCTGCCTGATGAGCCATTCTCTGAAGAGGGTGGAGGCGATTGCTGCTGTTGCTGCTGCTGCTGAAATTGATGCTGTTGTGTCAGCTGGTGCTGATTCTGGTGGAGCTGGTGGCTGTGATGGTGGTGGTGGTGGTGATGTGGATGATGGAGAGGGTGATGGTGGTGGTGGTGAGGAGAGAGGTGATGCAGATTGGCTGCCATATGGTTCTGGTGGTTCATCGTCTCCAGTGGACTGAGTCGGGATTGGTTGCTGCTGCTGCCGCCGGGACTTCCAACAACAGCAGGAGGAGGAGGACCGCCGTACTTGAGCGAGTGCCCTGCCAGTGCGTACATGTCCGCCGCCGAGGGCCCCAGACGGCCTAGCAGTGGGTACGGCCAGTTGCGCAGTTGCACACCGCCGAGACCTAGTAGTAACCGGAGAAGAAAAAATAGAAAATTTTAGGCAAAAGTTGGCTAATTAATTGACGCTAATTGGTAGTTTTGCTTGTGAGCTGCGCAGCAGAATTTGTAAAGCACACACATTTTTGCATTTTCCACACAAAATTTCCTCGCACTTTTTGGCGTAAAAACTATGGCAAATATGTCAGTGAGTGCCTATAAATATAAATCAAAAGCACATTCTCCCGTATTTTGTGTTTGTTTGTGCCCGCTGGGTCCAACTGCGCTCACTGGGCACGATCTGCCTGTGCCTGATACAATACACAAGAGTTGTGCCTTACACGCACTGGGTGCGGTGATCGGTTGCACGCACTGCACTGCCGCAAATGTGCGCTAATTATGGCCTTTCCAATCGGGGCTAGTTGCTGCTGCTGCTATTGGGGCCCTAGCAGAAAGGCCTTCCATCGAGCTGCTGACTCTTACAACTAACTCAATTAGATCATTCATAATTTACATTGTCAGCAGCAACAGCAGCATCATTTGTTTACTACGACTCCTCTGACTGTAATTAAACAAATTGGCATAACGCTGTAATTAGCATCGCGCGCGAAAGAGCGATATTCAATCTCTCACTATGCCGAGAGCTGACCGGTGTAATTATTATTGCACACTGCACTAGTTATTGATTGGCATGGTCAGGCAGGCACTGGACTCGCTTCATATACTGCACTCCTATTGTTTCCCTGTTTGTGCACTCAATTTGTGCTAAATGGGGGTGTGCCCGGGGATGGTCAGTGGTCAATGGGCACTTGTGGAATTGCTCGAATTGGTTGGTTGTTAAAAAAAAGAGCACTTACCAGGAGGACTGCCCGAGAGGGCCTTATTGCGAGGCTCACGTGGCCCATCGACCGTTACTTTGATCGCTCGGTTGTAGGTACCAATTAGTGGTGGACTGCTGCGAACGATTATCGTCAGTGAGAAGCTCTTGCCTGTGAGTGAGTGTGGTGAAGGAGGAGAAGGTGGACAATTAATCGAATGAAGTGGTGATTTATCATCAGAAGGAAAAAAGAGTATGGAATTTGGGTAACTCTACCCACACCCACACTTACCTCTACCCGATCGCCCCACAAAGCGCAAATCATGAAACTTGGCGATGCCATTCTTCGTGAGCGCCTTTCCATTTCGAATCTCGCCACAACAGTTCTCCTCATTTCCCGCCTTGATCTCCACCACCGTGCCATCCTTCACCTCCGCCCCGCCAAGCACTATGACCTTAAAAGTGCTGGGCAGTGTCTTGTTAGAACGCCAGTGGGAGGGCAACTGCGTGCAGATGATGTTCGGACTGCCCGTTCGAATCAGGTGCCCACCGGTGGAGGCGTCCATCTGCACTGAAGAGGAGTTGGCTGAGGCGGCGGCGGCCGCAGCCGCGGCCAGGCGGTTCGCCTTCAGGTACTGGTCCAGCAGCTGGTCTGCGGCACTGGCGTCCATTGAGTACTGAGGGAGTCTTCGTGGCTTGTAGTGCTTCTGCTGCTGCTGCTGAGTGGCGCCTGATGCAGAGGAAGGACACATTAAACTGACGGGGAGAGAGAGAGAGTGAAGAGGTAATGGAAGAAGGAAGAAAAAGTAGCGGTCTTGTGCTGCTTGTGCTGATGGTGGTAGTTGTCGGTGTTATCGGTCAAACACAGTGCATGGGAAAAACACTGAAGTAAGTTGAGGTGATGCGTGAAAAGATGATGATGCTAATTTGATGACAATTACTTTGTGGATTTTTTGAAAAGGTTTTTATTGAGTTTTTCTTCTGTCTTCTTAGATGATGTGAATTGACTGTGGCAGATTAGTGGTCAAAGAAAACAGTTGATGAATAGTCAAATTGATGAGTTGAGGTTCATTCACTGATTATCATTAGCTGCACAGTTGATCACATGTGTAAGCAATCGAACAATGAGACAAAGACAAAAAAGCCTCCACTACCGCCGACCAGGACTGTTTTGTCGTTCGCAGTGGTCTAGCTCGTACTGTGATCACTGGCTTAGTAGTCGTCACTGCTGCTGCTGCTGATGGGTAAGCTTTTGTTTTATGGTGTGCATGTATGTCCGTTCGCGGCGACTGTTCTCGCGGCACTGCTGAGAGTCAGCTAGCAGCTCACTTCTCATCTCGCACTTCTGTCTTCTTCGGCGGCACTCTGCTGCTGCTGCTGCTGCATATGCATGCTAATTACATGCTTCGATTGTTGCTGAGCGTGAAGGAAAGAAAGAAGAAGAAGAAGAAGAGGGGATGAAGTGGTGTTTGCGAAATGGGAGAATGGGGAGAAATGAGAGAGAGAGAGGCAAAGTACGACGTAAAAGAGGATGAAGCACACAGACACACAAGTTTAGAAAACGAAAAAGAATTGAGAATCCCTTCTCTTCTTTTTCTGCTTAGGTCCGCCTCGGATGAGACGTCTTCCTCTTCTTCCTCCACTTCTTGCTGGACCAGTTTGAGACAATCAGAATCAGAATCGGCTCATTCTGACCACGAATTTGTGGCCATTGGAGAAGTAAATGAGGGGGAGGCGGTGGGCAGTTTGCGGCCGCCTTGTCTTGCTGTGACCGTTTAGCAGTGGACAAATGAAATCGTTTTGTCAACCCGAAGGGGGTAACAGGGACATTAGCTAACAACAACTGCCGCCGCCACTGCCACTTCGTCGGCTTCTTCGGCTGTGATCTTCTCCTCAGTCTTTCTTCGGTCATCTCTGTCGGGCTCCTCTCTTATCTCCGGTCGGCCAGCATGTTCACTTTGGGCCCTTGTGCCTTTTTACTGCTGGCTTCAGTGGCACTGCCATTGGCGACGGTTTTCAACGGCGCGCGTCACCATTACGTCTTGCCCAGTGCCTTTTATTGCCTCCTCTCTTCTCTTTTATTGGTCTCTTTGCCTCCGTCTCCCACTCACAATTGCTAGAGCTGCTGCTGCTGAAGTCGGTGCAGTTGCACTTTGCACTCATGTTTGTCGTTGAATATTCGAGCGCTGGCTACTTTGCATAGGCTATAACATACACGTCGACTAATGGGCACACACACACAGGACAGTGTCGGCGTCAAAGTCGTCCTCGTCTTCGTCTTCGTCGTCTTCGTTTGCAGCCGCTTGTGAGCCAGTGTCTTTTGCCGCTTTGATTTTTGCCGTCGGTTTTTATGACGGCTGACTGTGTTGGCTTGTTGTTGTTGTTCTTTTTTCAGTCGCTGCTGCTGGCGAAGATGAAGAACAGGAACAAGGAGGAGAAAAAGAAAAAGGAGAAGGGGCAGACTGTGTCTCCTTTGCTTCAGTAAGCAGCACTAGGGCTGTAAAGTGATGAAGTCATTTGCCCGCTTTGAAGACACCAGTTCAGCAGAGAGAGGGAATAAAAGGGAGAAAGAGAGTATGGACAATGACGGACACTTGTTGGCACTTGTTGTAGGGGTAGTAACTTCAGTAGTAGTGTCTGTTACACAACACGTACCTCCTTCTACTCGAACAAAGGCTGCTGCTGGACCGGCGGCGGCGGCAAAAGGCCATTTACACGCAGACTTTAGACACAGGCAATTTGCAGACAAAGTCGCTGATGAGAAAGCCAGCCGCTCTCAATTAGCGGCCGCTGAAGGGGATGAATAAAAAGAAGAAAAGTGTGAGAATGTTCGAAATGAGACCTGAATTAAACAGCGATGGGGAGAAAAACATTCTAATTGTACAATAATGGCCGCCATTTAGAAGAAAGTAAAGTTGTTGCACTTTGATTTGCTTTTTAAACTCTGTTTTGATGTGTTTTTGTTTTAGTTGCACAACACATTCTTCATTCTTTTTAGCTCCAACAACTTAGACTCATGAATTACCTGACCGGTGCTCTGCTGAATGCAGGTGCTGCGGGCAATGGAAACGGCAATGGCAACGGCAACATGGCCACATGGATCCTCTGCGGTGCCTGTTCTTCCCTTTTCTCCAGCTGCTGTAGCTGCTTTCGAGGACAAGGAAACGCTGAGAATTGCCCACCGCCTCGGCCACCTCCTCCTCGAACGCCCCCAGAGAGGCCCGGGCTGATGAATCTGCTCTTTGATGAGGAGAAGAAGCTGCACAAGCACTCTGAAGCAAGGAGCAGAAGCAGCAGCAGCAGTAGTAGCAGATCAAAGTCAGTCTGCTCAAAGTCCTCTTCCACCACTTCAAGAAAATCATCACCCGCGCCTAGTGTGATGGTCATCGATTTGCGAGCAGAGTCTTCAGAAGAAGCGAAGGATGCTTCGCCAGAAGGTGAAAAGAGGAGGAAGAAGAAGAAGAAGGCAAAGAAGGAGAAGAAGGACAAAGAGAAAGATAAAAAAGATAAAGATGATAAGAAGAAAGAGAAAAAGAAGAGCCGCATTAAGTCTGAGGTGAAGAAGAAGAAGAAGACTGAAGACTTAAAGATCAAGGAGAAGAAAAAGAAGACTTCCGCTGCGGCTGACGGAACCAGCAAAACGAGCATCTTATCGACGCTCTTCAAGGACGAGTCCTCGACGACTGCGCTGACAAAGGCAAGCAAGGGCAGCTCAAGGGACAAGAAGAAAAGGGGAGAGAAAAAGTCCACTACCAGCACCACCAGCAGCCACCGCCAAAAGGACAAGTCAAAGAGTAGATCAAAGTCAAAAACTGAAAGTAGTGCCGGCAAGAAAAAGTCCAAGACCCGTAGCAAGAGGAAGGCAACTGAGGCGTAGAGTGCAGCAACTGCTCTTTGCCAATCCTTTTTAGGTTTTAAAATAAAAATCAGCTCCTTATCTCATCATTTTTAAAATTAGTTTCCGATGATTGGCAGGCGGCACTCAGGGCGGCCAACGATACGATTGAGATAACGTATCATTCTCCTATCATTCGCCTGTACTAATTTTCCACGTGGCTCTCAGCTGCTTTTTGTTTATTCGGCAGCCGAATAAACAAAATATTTCGTTGGTCGCCCAGTGGGCTGCTCTAGAATCAAACGACTAACGCTGTTCTTCAAACGTGACTCTGCAGAAAATAGAACACCTGTTACATTGTTGAACTTTCGTTTACCAAAAAAGCTTATCGCTGCTACAACACACACACACTTACCCTTTTTTGCATTTTTCCGATAACCTTCCACTCGTGCCATGGGCTTCTACTTCTTCAACACCTCTGAACTGCTGGAGATAGAGTGTCCACTGCAGCTTACTGACGGCAGCAGCAGCGGCTGTCCGCAGCAATCGACCCGCAGGGGCTGCCCCTTCGGGCACCGCTCGGCGGCCGTCGAGCCGGCCATCAGTCGTCGCATCCTCCGCCCGATGCCGGAGAACA